CTCTATGAGCTAGGTAAACCACTTGTCTTTTCTCAATATATCCAAAAATTATAAGGACAGTAAAGGGTCAAGCCAATTTTAAATAATTTTCCTTTAAAATATAGCTGTGGGTATAAAATTCCCATAGAGACACTTTAGCTAGCAAAGTCAGTCCTGCGTCACTGACTAGTAATAAACATTGAAATCCCACTGTCCCCACCAAAGCTATAAATGCTGGTGTGGAACTTGCCTTATGCCACAAAAATTAAGAAGTATGTTAATTTCCTTGTGAAATTAAGTTCCTCATGACAGAACTTGCAAGAATGCCACATTTTAAAATGTTTTCTTCCACATATGCTTAGAAGTGATTTTACCTCCTAGGAACTGATTAAGATTAATTTTACAGAGCAAGTAAGAAGAAGAAATGAGAAAAGAATAACATGCTGAAGAAACAGAAATGGCTAAAAGTACAGCCGAATAGGCAATTTTGTAAATTACCATTTTACTTTCTCACTTAAAATTTTTGCTAAAGAAAATTATAAATACATTATTTACCCACAAGGTTGATTCTAGCTCCATTTCCGTCTGACTAACCTTTCCTGTAATCCGATGGCATCCCCTCTCTCTTTACTAAGACATCTTGACAAACTCTGATTTCATCACCAATTCATAGATCTGCTGGAGGTCACTGGGACTGCCTCGTTCAATGACCCCATTTAACAACAGGACTGATACTCGGAAGCAAAGTAATTTGTCCAACACCACAGTTGGGGGTAACAGAATCAGGACAACAACTCAACTATGAGTTTCTCTATAAAATCTTTTAAATTATGCAGGGCTCGAAAATTATTTATCTGAGCTAGACCCTTTCCCAACAAAAGCTATTTGTCATCCACAAGGAATATAGAGGTAAAAACTAAATTTGGGCCAGTGATTTTTCAAGAATTAAAGAATTTAATTTGGTAATTCTTTAACTTCCAAATGAGCTCAAATAATATACCTGGCCTAACATATATCAGCTTTTAGGAGTACCAATGAAATAGTCAAATGCCAATGGATAATATTTAATCAAATAATTTAGCTATTTTAAAATAATAAAATACATTAATTCAGAAAAATTAAGAGACAGAATACTTGTTAAAACAGACTAGTTTTACTTTCCATACACTGATATTCAGCATTTAAAACACTGCTTTCTGATGCTGTCACTGGAAATTCTTCTGCAAGTCATTAGTATTTATTCCTGTAACATCAGAATAGCGAAATTTTCATTTACACTATAGGGGTGAAGAACCACTGCGTTGCTATTTAACAATTTGTTTTTAGCAATACATCCAGGAATACTAGGTATACCTTTGTTGAAATTTTTGGCCCCCCTCCTTTCCCAACCTATTTCAAAACCAGAATTGATTAAGATATAATTGTCTATCCCAAACAAAAGTCAGCTGTTCAAAATGTAGTAACTAAGAGCATCCCATATGGGATGGCTCCCTCTTCAGAGGGAAATTTTGGGTACAAACTTCATTTTATACTCAGGTACATATGGTATCCTTGATCAAATATAAAGTCAAACTGCCCTCAGAAAAGGACAGAATCCGCAGCTCTGCATAGGTCCAACAGATCCTCTTTATCAACATCAAAAACCAAAACACTCCCCCAAAGAACTGATGGTCACTCTTGTAAATTATCATTAATTAGGACAAACGCACCTAAGTCCACGAGAATGGCATGCTGCTGAGCAGTGAGCTGCTTCAGAAGCTCTTTATAGGACGTGTCAGGAGGCTGCTGTCTATCAGGCAATCTGTGTCTTAGTCGGTATTGTAAAGCCAGGAACTGCCAAATTTCTCCCCGACGACTTTTGGGAACTCCTACAATCAAAGAGATAAATAAGCAAGGTCTTGAACTCTGGAATGAAGTTACTGAATGGCGGCTGATTAACTGCATGATTCTGGAACTTGGGCAGCTGCATATACTACACACCACCCTACAATCACATCGCACAACTCAAGACAGGAGCACACTGTGATGAGCTTAGTCCTGTAGCTCTTCATATCTATGAAAGAAAAGAATGCCGATAACAATAATGGCAATGGGCGGTGCCTGTGGCTCAGTGGGTAGGGCACCGGCCCCATATACCAAAGGTGGCGGGTTCAAACCCAGCCCTGGCCAAACTGCAACAAAAAAACAGTGTTGTGGCGGGCGCCTTTAGTCCTAGCTACTTGGGAGGCTGAGGCAAGAGAATCGCCTAAGCCCAGGAGTTGGAGGTTGCTGTGAGCTGTGACACCACAGCACTCGACCAAGGATGACAAAGTGAGACTCTGTCTCTAAAAAAAAAAAGCAATAATGGCAACATCAAGGCTAACATCAGCCAACAATGACTAAGCACTGTTCTGCAACATTTATTGAAGCTGCCTAGCTGAGTACATGTATTCAGCAGACAATCCAGAGGAGGCGATTACAATTACACACATTTTACAGATGGAAAGCTGAGGCACAAAGAGATTTAGTTAATTTTCCAAGTTCACACACCAGTAATAGCAGTTTAGAATTAGAAACCCAAAAGTCTGGCTAACTCCTGAAATCCCAGTGTGTTACTGCCTATTTTCACCTTTGATTTGGCTTAAAGAAATCATTAGATGCTAATCCTCATCTACAGTTTCTATATTTTTTTGAGGCAGAGTCTCACTCTGTTACCCTGGGTAGAGTGCTGTGGCATCAGAGCTCACAGCAACCTCAAATCCTCGGGCTCCAGTGAGCCTTGAGCCTCATGCCACAGCTTTCCGAGTAGCTGGGACTACAGGTGCCTGCCACAATGCCCAGCTAGTTTTTTTCATCAGCAGTTTATAAATATTTGTCACCAAAAACTAACTTTGAAAAGAGATAGAATTCTTATACGATGATAAGAGACTGAAAAAATAAAACTGGTAAACAATAAAATGGCATAATTCAAGTGCTCCAGACATCACTCAGCCTCCTAGAAGAAAATACTCAGCAGAAAACAATGCTACATTAACTCTATCATGCTTGATAACCAAAGGACACCACAAGTAGTTCACAGCACGCTATCATGATGTTTTTTATGTCAAGGGACATGACATAAGCACTGAGAGGGACAGAGTTCAATTCTGTACAGAGCAGGCAACTTTGTTTCATTCAGTAAGAGTGTTCAGTTTCGAAAGATCCCATCTGGAATAGGTTCCTAAGCTCCAGCTGGTTAACAAAGGTTGCATTGTGGTAATCTCTCCTAACCATAGTTTGTTTAAGCTGAAAAATAATTACTATCCAAACACGAAACTCAGGTTTGCTGGCATGATGTATCCAAGGCCTCTACAATACAGCTCCAAATCGCCTGTCTTAACCTTACCGTTACCTCCCAGTCGCTACCACGTGAAGCTTGTGGTTATTTTCATTCTTGCAGTTTTTTGCTCCTTCTCGTGCCCTCCTGGAATTCTAAGCTCCCTCTCTCACTTCTACTCATTTGTATGGGCTTGTCAATATAGCATATTACTCAATTAATCTTACCTTAATCTAAACTTAGCTGTGCAATAGTTTCACACATTAGCAGAGGCTATTAAATTCCAAGATTCGTCATCAGATTTCTTTGGGTATTCGTAGATTTTCATTTTCTACCTGGCTTATGCACGCCATGAAGGTTCTCATTTTAATACATTTATTTTGTATCACAGAAATGGCAACCCATGTGGTCATATATTAGTTTTAACATTAAGCTTAAAATGCTTAAATATCAGGCATTTGATATGCAACAGCAACAGTGAAATAATAAATGTAGTATGTGGCTAAATAAAAGCAATTTCTCCCAAACAAATGAAGAAAGGTAGGAAACACAATGAACTAATTAGAATGTAAATCTGTACATAAAACATGTACATGTATATACACATTCATATACATACTTTTGACAGAATGATTGAAATGGGTCGGATTTGCAAGTCATGGCAGTGATCAAAGATTTGTACACATGTATGAACTTCTTCCTTGAAAGCAACACCACACAGCTGGAAACAGCTGGCTGAAGGAAGCAGAACAGTCTGTAGAAAGGGTGTCTCTACCTGCTCAGGGGTAGGAACCTCATTAGCACCATTTCCTTACCAGGCAAGTGACTAAACGGAAGAAACCAATGACTTTCCCTTTTTTAATAAGCAAAAGCACAAAGAAAAAACTATGCCTGAGCTTCACAAATCCAAAAACTCTGAGGCTTTTCTTCAACAAAAGATAACTGAGATTATTCCCAATACCTTCTTTAAGAGCTGTATGAATATCTTCCATATCACATCTGATTTTAGCTCTGCAGTTTAATAACTTCTTATCCCAGGTTATTAAGACCTCCTTTTGACATACACCCACTTCTTCATAGTCTAATTTGACTTTTCTGGACTGCAGTTCATCTCTGCTTGCTAAGAGAAACAAAAAGAGAATTTATGTAAGACCACTGTGTTATTAAAGCATGGTATTTTCAACATCTTATCCTATTTGTGAAATCATACAAAATGACTTGTAGAATCAACTGCTAACTTTTTTCTCCAAAAGAAAACTTGAAAAAAAATTGAGGCAACATAAAAAGATTTCAAGCTTTAAGTCATTTCATGAGAAAAAAATTGAAGGAGTAACTTTGTAAGGATATTTTAATATATATCAACACATGTTTACTCCATTAGGTATTTAAAAAAAAAACGTAGGGCCAAGTGCCATACTTCACACTGGTAATCCTAACACGCTGGGAGGCTAAAGAGGGAGGATCCCTTAAGGTCAGGAGTTCAAGACTAGCCTGAGCAAGAGTGTGACTCATCTCTACTAAAAACAGAAAAAAAAAAAAAAAAAGCCAATAAATAGAAAAAAAAATTATCCAGGCATGGTAGCTTGTGCCTGTGGTCCCAGCTACTCAGGAGGCTGAGGCAAAAAGATTGCTTGAGCCTGGGACTTTGAGGTTGCAGTGAGCTATGATGATGCCACCACATTACAGCCAAGGTGACAGAGAAAAACTCTGTCTCAAATAAACAAATATATAAATAAAGAAATAAAGAAACCATGTTGACTATTCTATAAATTTCAAATTTTTGACAAACGTAATAGCCTCAGACATGACAGCTTACATCATCTTAAATATAATTAAAGTGTTAATATTTTACATGTCACATATATCAGAAGACAGTGCCTCATGCTAACCTTGATTTGAGAAATCTTTGACCCTGATAACCTGATACATATTGATAACTATTTCCACAAGTATTCATACCGTCCTTAACAACACTAGGTTATATATTCCTATGCTCATTTTTATAATCTTAAAAAGAAAATTTCCTTTTGCTGAAGTTAACACTATTGTACTTTTTAAATAATATAGAATTCTCTTTCATTTGATTATCTAAAATACAGGCCCAGAGCTCATTAGAAGAAATGCCTAGAAAAGCAGACAGTATTTTGATTTGGTCTTTATCTTAAGAAACTGATTCCAAAAGGGGAGAAGGAAGAACAGACACATGAATATATGTCTTCTCTTTCATCAAGATCACAATAGACAGGAATTTTTCAAAGTGATCCGTCCGTGGGTCATTACGAAACTTTTGAGATACACAAAAATCAAGAAATATAAAATCTGCATGGATGGAAACAAACAAAACCCTCACAGTGATGCCAGTAAGCCAATAAGCTGAGCGTGCTGAAACTGGTATGGTGTATCACGAAGAATGTTGTTGACTGTGTTTCTTGGAAGTGAAATAATGAACCATGGCACCGTCTGTCTCAAAATTTTTGTAGTGATGCTGCTGACTGTGTTTCTCGGAAATGACATGATGGACCATAGCATGGTCTGTCTCAAAACTTTTGTAGTGACCCACATATTCATTCAAGCTTATAGAGTTCAACCACCTTACCTTCTGTAACACAAATCTTTGTCATGCATCCAAAGTCCTCGACAGCACAAAAACAACAGCAGAACCAATGTTACTCTTTACTTAGGGTTTCAAAGCATTTCCAAAGAATTACAGTATCTTAGAACAAACTGTCATTCAAGCAAAATCATAAAATTTCCCACTTAAAAGTCCAGACGTAATCAGAAGACAAATCGCACTACAAAATATTCCTCCTGGACGCCACTAGATGGCTTTCTAACACAGGGCAGCCGTGCTTCTCAGAATTTGCTTTATACGTATTTCTCTGTGATAACCAAATGGTGTTTTCAAAGGAGTGGTTTTATTAAAGCTAATCACAAACATACCCCAACACAATAGCTTTACTAATAATTTTCTTTGCGATGGATAAAGCATGATATGTCCTCAAATTTTTTTTTCCTCTAATCTTCTCTAAATTATTGCTCATTTAAAATAACATAAGCCGACCATCGTAAGCCCTGAGGATAAAATGGTAAGTAGGAACAGTTGACATCTGCTCAACTCGTTAACTAGACAAGACTAAGAACCATCAAGACATGATTATTCATTGCCTAGAATTACAATATGTTAAGCTATTTTTCATCTTTTGTTACTTTAGCAGAGAAATAAATATAAAACTGATAAAGGTTTCCAAGACTGTATTTTAAATGACATCGCCTTTGTTATCCTAGTAGAATAGTACGATGTAACTGACCTCAGAATACCCAGGTAGTCATTTATATTAAAACATTACATTTCCTTCTATTAACATACATACCCAATAAATAATGTGGCTTACTGGGAAGAGTCCCAGAGTCACGATGAATGCACCTGAGTTCTGGTACTTACTCTGCCAGTCTGTCAATGGTCACTGTTTGACCTTAGGTTAGCCTTAACCTTAACCTCACCAAGCCCTTCACTAACTCAGCTAAAGAATAAAGAATCTACCTAAACAATCTCTAAGGGCATTGCCACTTCAAATTGTCTATGATTCTAAAACTACCCTTTAATACGTAATGTAAGATTTTATTTGTACATACTCCCAACTGAAATACATACAATTTCATAGTGTAAAATTTTAAGGGAATGATGACCATCACTTTTTAATTTTCTATTTCCATTTGTAAATTAAGGATGTAACCAAATGCTTAAAAATATGAATTCAATTTCCTTCAAAATCTTTGAAAGCTTAAGTGGGCATAAGATTAATCACACTGAACTATTAAAAGCTACATCAATAACAACTGAATTTTTAATTTTAAAGAAAAGAAGAAAATCATATGTACTTTTCATTCTGCTTAGAAAATAGGAATTTAAAAAATTGCATTCTTACAAACCAAACATTGTTAAAATAAAAAACTGAATTGAGTAATAGGTGTGGTCAGAGAAATCTTTATGTAGGGCCAAGAGCAGTAGCTCACGCCTATAATCCCAGCACTCTGAGAGGCTGAGGCAGGTGGATTGCTTGACCTCATAAGTTTGAGACCAGCTGAGCAAAAGCAAGACCCCCCTCTCTAAAAAACAGCTGGGTGTTATAGTAGGCTCCTATAGTCCAGCTGCTTGGGAGGCTGAGGCAAGAGAATCGCCTGAACCCAGGAGCTTGAGGTTGCTATGAGCTAGGACATGACACCATAGCACTCTACCGAGGGTGACAAAGTAAGACTCTGTCTCAAAATATTTAAAAAAAGAAAGAAAGAAAAAAGAAATCTTAAGCCAGATGATGAACTCAGAAACAAGAATGCTTACACTAAAAAATCTCTTTGAAAGACAACCAATAAAAGCAAGTGAGAGAAAAACCTAGATTTTCCTAGAAATTGAAAAAAGTGCAATTAGTGTACATTTGCCAATAATCTTAAAAGTCAAATGGGCCACTTTTAGCTAAATCTTTTACTTTTTCTTCTTTTTATTTTTGTTTAACTTAAGTGTTAGTCCAAAACCTTCCACTTAACAGATGAAAAGCCTAAAATGAGGCCCTTTTAGGTTGCGTGATTTGCCCAAGATAATGACATCTGTACACGTTTTTCAGACTTTAGTAGTCTGGGCACCTCTGGGCATGCAGTTTTGTCCGTACTGAGGTCAATTACACCATTCTTTCAAAGGCTAAAAATGCATTCTAGAACATAATCATAAACTTAGCCAAAAAAGTACTACAAATTACTCAACAGCTTTTAAAAATTATTTGGTTATAAATCTAATGATTTGAATATGATTTTGTTCAACAGAAATGTATACAGCATTAATAAAAAATAGGAATTCTGATTATATAATTGGTCATTCTAACAGCTGAGTTAGATATAATTTATTTACAATGAACATATTTCTCCCATTATGAAGATAATCAACCTGAAAATGGAAAATCAGACTGAAAAAGAAGAAAATTTGTCTTTTCATATGTAAGGATTTTTTTTCTTAAAGTAATGTACTATGATATTAAACTTTCAGTTATACCAAATACATCGATTCTATATTCCCTAAATTCTATATTACATAAATATACTCTAAGGAAGGGATTCTTATGTTTTAAATGTTTAAAATGCAAACCTATATGAAACAAAAACACAAGTATCATAAGCTGACCTTTCCTGTGTCATAACTACCTCCCAAATGAAAACACACAAGTAGATATTCTTTCAGAGTGAGCACACCATCCACAGATGAGCATGTGTGCACGGGGGAGACTGAGGGGTAGGTTTAACCTACCCCCTAAACAACAGCATCATACCACGTAGTCCTGTCTGAATGGCTAACCTTCAAGTTTCTGATTTTCTTTCTCCATCCGAAGCAACAAGATCTGCTGGTGTATAGCTTTTCTCCACAAACTCCTCAGCTCTTTGGATTTCTTTTGTTCTTCCATCTTGTCTGGGTCATCATCACCAGCCAGGAATATAACCATCGGTTCCTCCTCCATGGTCGGAGCGAGAGGGGACAGTGGCAGCAGCTCATTCCTGTCCAGTCCATCTGCAAAGAAGAAAAGAGTGAGCGGCATTCCTTAACTGCAACCCGACTGCAGACGCTTCTCTAGAACTGGCACTCTCTCGTCTTATCTTCCACCCTGAAAGGTCTTCACAAAGCTACTTTCCCAGCAACTACTAGTTTCTGGAACAAATGTTTTAAGTAAATTCTCTAGACTGAATTCCCCTTCCAGATTTCCCTGCCGTGGTGAAATAAAACCATAGGTCATTTCACCACTTCTTCTTTCTGCATAAAAAGAGCTGTGAAGATAGGTGCTCCAAAATGAACTGGCCTGTTCTCAGAGTCTAACACTTCTGCAATTTGCTTATGTATGTTCTCTGGCTGTGCAAAACAAGAAGATTAAGTGGGTAGGTGTTGGTGATCCTCTAAGGTCTACATCTACCATCAGAGCCCATCAACAGGAAAGCAGCTCCCCTCTGCCTCTCCTCCTCTCCTGGCTGAGGAACACACTCCCTCTGCTCTCTCCTCCAGCAACACACTCTCTTAACAAACATGACCACGTCTATTGAGCCATTTCAGAGGCCGCTTACATCCCCCCAAAACAAAGTCCAGATGACTGAGTATAGCATGTCAATCCCTGCAGATTCTGGCCCCAAGTAAACTTTCCAGCCTCATATCTCAATCTCCCATTCTACATGTCCACCCCCACCACAGGGAACTTTTCATGATTCTCTGATCTACAAAATTTGCTCAAATGACTCCAGAGCTTTGCCATTCCTTCCTTCTAAACATAATTCTCCCAGCAATGAGTTGAAATAAATACTCAATTTCTGTGAAGCATTGTCTGACCACTCTAGGCAGAGTTAATTTTATCTTTGGTAATACCACCTGTAATCTTTTTTTTATAATTCATTGACCTCTGACCTGACAGTTACCATTTGTTTCCTTAAGTTTTGTTGTTTTAAGTGTTTACTCTATGGCCCCTCTGCTAGCTTCTTCAGTTGAACGTTCAGTACATCTGACTTGGGGCCTTCATAGTGCTGGATAAAGCCATTTACAGCTATTCACTGCCCCTCATATCCACTCAATTTTGATATGTAGGTCTCTGATCTTTGTCTTTTCTTCTTCCTAAGACTGTTCCTTCTTTCTAAAACTGTTTCTAAGAGTACAGTTTTCACTTTCCAAATATGTCTTTTTTTTTTTTAGATTATTCTCTGATTCTTGATTTCTTTCTCCTTTTTTTTTAGCACTGTGGTCATAGAATTTTAGCATAAATGATCATGGCTATTTGGGATTTATTAAAAAATCTTTGTCTCCAAGTACGTAATTCCATCTTACCCATGTCCCATGTGTTCTGAAAATGAATGAGTTTTCTCTAAAGGGGACAAACTTCTGTGTAAATATTAGGACAAGCTTGTGCAATTGTGTTGCTCAAACAGCATCTTTATTTCATTTCTCTAAATTAAATTTCCAGAGAGGAATCTGTTAAAACCTCCCACAAGAGATTTTAATCTACTTACTTCTCTCCAAAATTCTGTGATTTTCTAGCTCTCAAGACTGTCTCATTATACATAATCTGTTCTCACTGTCATTATCGCTTTGTTTATTGTGCCTTGACCTTGCCCCTTTCCATGCTTTTGCTTCAATTTCTAAGAGGTCTAATATCCAAAAAGAGGTTCCTGTGCCATCCTCTCATTGACATTTGCCTAGTGTATTATATCCATTTATTGTTCAACATTTCTGTCACTTTGTTTCATGTGTGACTCTTCTAAAAGACTCCATTGTTTTCCAATCATAAAAACACCCAGGACTTCCTTTCTGACACTAGCATAGCTCCCTATGCACTGTGAAGCCGGCCCAAACACAGGCTTTTGAAAGTTACCCTCTCATACATTCATTTGACAGGCAGGGACTGAATGTCTAGTGTGTTCTAATGATACCTACAAAGTAAACCATTGTACCAGGTACAGAGATCGCTGTATCTCCCCTGTCATCACTCAAATCTCTTTATATGCAACGTGTTTGCATTCTACGGCCTAATCTCTGACTCTCAGGAGGAGTCCTTCCTTAGGAAGCACCACACCGACCTTGCTGCTGCATGGCTGAGGGAGATTTGTTCATGGGAGACGCAACCCTGAGGAAGATGCGCTGCCTCCAGGAGACGCGGCGAGGGGTGCCGGAGTTCGTGCCCGCATTTAGAGACTCGTTACTACAAGTCGATGAGGTCCTCTTTCTCCCTTCCCCGTCACTGTAGAGAGGAAATCAATATGTCACTTATAAGGAGAACTGCATAACGTGGCACTTACCAATGAAATAGGAACACAAGCCATTCACAAGTTCCACCACAGGCAAGCAGAAGCCACAGGCAACATGGAGCGGTGCGTCACCCGGGCCACCACAGCCTGGGGAAAGTGCAGTCTCGGCCACAGCCCAGTCACGAGCAGCTCACCTGTTTCTACTCATTCCTTAGTAGCCAACCAGTTCTACTTCTAATCCAAGGAACAGAAGATCTTACAAGGAGGAGCAAAGGATGCTCAAGTAATGAACTAGCACTTTGCTAAAGAAATGAAATTAATAGCTTATTCTATACCATGTAAATATTCCATGAAAGGCTCATTCAGAGCTTTTCTTATAGCTTTTACAGGTTGATAAAGGTAGCTTCTCACTGCCTGTGACCGTTAAGACCTGTCTCCGAACTGTTAGCTACGAATAGCTGGATCATGAAAAAAATTAATCAGAATATAGGCATAATGGTCAACCTTGGGATTATTGTTAGTGCTGTATTTTTAAATGTTGGGGCAAATAAGATTGGATTGGCTAAATGTAAAAATAGTAACCAGGTTTCTTTATAGCAGAACTTCTTAAGAGACCGAATATGCCGACATGCACTGTGACTCTCCAACAGAGAAACAGCACATAGAAATCCCCTAACTTATTTAAATTAACTACCCTAAAATCACTTCCCCCAATTTGGGGGGGAAGGTGGTGTCATGTCTGTCTTTCTGCATTAGTGCTCTGTGAAACTCACATAGGGAAATGCACCTCTGCTCTAAGAATTTCATTTCTTAGGAAAGACCCCTGTGAGTTATGCTTAGGAGTATCTGCTATACAAGGTCAAAATTACGTTTGAGATCACCTGTGTTTGCAGCTGGGATGCTACAAAATAATTGTGCTGTTAGTGGCAGAAGTATTTTACATTTTGAAGTTGGACAGTCTTTGTGTTTTCCTGAGAGAATGATGAAGATACCAATATTTACAAGCAGTGATACCCACAAGAGAAGGTACACATGGGACTTCTGATGGAATAATGAAGTTCAGTACTTAGGCTGGAAATGACATTCAGCTAGAAAAGCCACAACTCTTTCAGATTCTCAAAGGGACTCCATAGTGCCGAGGCAATTAATAGTGAGAGGTCCACTTTCACACCTGCCTGTCATATCTGCAGTTACCCTATGTGTCCACACATACAGTTATTCAGTTCTATTCTGGATCTATCTTCTGGAAATGTTACCTCTAGATTAGCTAAGAAAAGGAGACACCCCTGAGCTGCTATGTAAACAGCAAGTATCACGATGTGTTATGATACTACAGAAAGCACCACTGCTGATACAGACATCTCAACATAGTCAACCCCTCTTTGTTATGTATCTTGGAAAAATTACAACCCTAATGTGTCCACTATTTAAAATTCCCTATAATACTAAATATGCTCACCTTCATTTCCACTTTGGAAAGCATTTATGTTTTTTTTTTTTTTTTTAAGACAGAGCCTCAAGCTGTCACCCTGGGTAGAATGCCGTGGCATCATACCTCACAGCAACCTCCAACTCCTGGGCTCAAGCGAGTCTCCTGCCTCAGCCTCCCAAGTAGCTGGGACCACAGGCGCCCGCCACAACCCCAGGTTATTTTTTGGTTGCAGCCATCATTATTGTTTGGCGGGCCCAGGCTGGATTCGAATCCCCCCACCTTGGGTGTATGTGGCTGGTGCCTTAGCCACTTGAGCCACAGGCGCCGAGCCGGAAAGCATTTATGCAAGTTATTTCCCTTTTAAAACTTGGAGCCCATAGTTCAGTGGTTAGGGTGCCAGCCACATACACCAGGCTGACGAGTTCAAACCTGGCCTGCACCTGCTAAACAACAATGACAACTATAACAACAACAACAACAAACTAGGCAGGTGTTGTGTGTGGCAGGTAGTAGTTCCAGAGACTTAGGAGGCTGAGGCAAGAGAATCGCTTAAGCCCAAGAGTTTGAGGTTGCTATGAGCTATGATGTCATGGCACTCTACCGAAGGCGACACAGTGAGACCCTATTTAAAAAAAAACTGTGATTCAAATATTCTCGATATAATAGTGATATCTTGATAAACACTCTGGAAGTACTTAGTATCTTCATTTTGGTAACACTATCTCATTGGTAGGTATTTGCTAACTGCCCAGTTAATAGGTATATTTCTAGCTTTTAGTGTAGTAATGTGTAAAGAGTAAGCACTCAACAAATAATAACCCACTGAATAAATTAATACTTTATGAAACTAAATGAAATATTTACTAACTCAAAAGGTTAAGTGAAATAGGGGAAAAAGAACTGGGTAGGCTAACATGTCAGAAATAAGTAAAAAATCCACCTTTGTAAAACACTTTATTGGTAGTCATGATTTAAGTCTTTTTGACAGAAAGTCCTAATAAGTTTGTTTCCCAAAAGTATGGACTGAGTTCTTTTTCTTTGTTTTAAAGACAAAGTCTTACTTTGTTGCCCTTGGTAGAGTGCCATAGCATCACAGTTCACAGCAACCTCCAACTCCTGGGCTTAGGCGATTCTCTTGTCTCAGCCTCCCGAGTAGCTGGGACTGTAGGCACCCACCACAATGCCTGACTATTTTTTGTTGTTGTTGTTGTTGTTGTTGTTGCAGTTTGGCCAGGGCTGGGTTTGAACCCGCCACCCTCCATATAGGGGGCTGGTGCCCTAACCACTTAGCCATAGGTGCCGCCCCTGAACTGAGTTCTTAATGACAGGGGTAGGTATTAACCACAGTAATACTGTTAATAAGCAGAAAAAGGCATCTTTTTTTTCTAGTAGGTGTTGTTCCCTTCCTACATAAGCACATCTAATTTATCATTTAAGCTTTGAAAGTTAAATGATATATTTACACAAAAGCACTTATTCCAATGCCTCAGAGGGGTAACATTTTAACAAATATTCATTTCTCTTGATTTTTCTAGTAGCTCTAACAAACGAAACTATAGTAAAGATTCTGAAATGGTCATATTTTAATGCAGAAATTAAAACATCTTTTTAAAATCACCTTCTAATTAACTGTTAATGACCTATCAAGTGTTTAGAAAGTATTAAGGATAAAACGGGGCAGTACCCGTATCAGTTGCATGACTGCCTGTAAAATACAAGCTTCAGGGGAGTATGTTGTGAAAACAGGTACCTACTTCCACATTTAAAAAGAAACACAAATAAAGTCTAGCAAGGGGAAGGAGAAAGGAGGGCAAAGGTAGGAGAGAGGAGGAAGGGGGCAACTGTCAGGATCTCACCTAAGGAGCATGACATGAGGGTGTTCAGCACACCCCCTGGGGGGAGTGGTCAAGTACTACTTGAACTGTGCCCTAGAGTTGAAACAATGTAACCTAAACATCTGTATCTTCATATTAATATGTAATAAAAAATAAAAAAGGTGCCTACAATACCCTTACTGATAGATATCAACCCACTGATACAGATTTGAAAATTTCACTATATCTAAATGGTTAGCCCTATGATATAAATAAACTGACCAATGACAGATTTTCCTCCCATGTTTTGAACTGAATGGCCAGTAACAAGCCAAGAATTAATAGTCAAAATATAAGGTAATATTACCCTGAAAGGAAGGACTTACATAACAGATCACTGGCCTTTCATTTTTTACTAAAAAAAAGAAACCACAACATCCTGAAAAAGCAGTTCAGGTGCTGAAATAAGGCAAAAGCTTCTCTGTTTCATTTAGTAAGAGAAACTATATATTCAGAAGTCAGGTTCCAGGTAAGGGTTTAAGTAGTCAGTGCAACTTACAGCAATTTACTGCTTGATTTACACTTGGTAGGCAATCTGACATTCTTAAGGTGGTCATTTCAAGAATCAAAACCACATGAAACACTTTGAATCCAAATTTCTACACCCCGCCTTAGAAGCTACACTGGGATAAAGGGGCAAGGTGTCTTTAGTTGGGTAGTTTGTTACTACAACGTTAATTATCACTTTAATTTCTCCTTTAATCAAACTTAGTAGGCATGCGAGCATAAGGTCTACTTGTTAAGTGAAAATAAAAACAAAACAACCTGGGGGCAGGACACAATCATAAGAGGGACTTTATCTAACAAATTCAATCAGTATAATCTAATTCTTTGTACCCTCAATGAATCCCAAACAAAAAAAGAAAAAGGAAAAAATGAAGAAGATGCATCCAGCCTTGGCTGAATTGTTCAAAATAATAATAATAATAAAGCTAAGATTCAAAAAAGCACATACTTCATTCCAGGTATTGAGTGTTTACACATTTTACAAGTTATGGATTCATTTCATCTTCACAGCAACCTTACAGGGTAGGCATTACTTACTATTGTCATTTTACTGAGAAAATTAAGGTAGACAGAGGCTAAGAAACTGGAGCACAGTCACATGGATAATATGTGAAAGAGCCAGGGTTCAAAACCAAAAGATCCACAACCCAGACCCTTGGGCACTGCAGTTTCTCAGGTGAATATAAACACTCCTTATGTTAGTTCTAACTAGGCGCGATAGGACCACAAAAACAAAGCTGTCTGGACTCCCAGGATCTTCCGTATTTCTGGGAAAACCAGTCTCTAATTGGCAATAAGCCCTTTAGTCAGGTACTTCTTTTTCCATTTTTAATGGAATAATTTCATTTATTTCAGCATAGAAACAACTTCAGAGTACTACTAGGAGCTTCATATATTTACATAAATGTATGTAAATACACGTATCACTTCCTTTTCTTTGCCTTGAAATGATTGCATCCCAAAATGTATATCCTTGTTCAAAAAAAGGAAGAGGACCAAGTAAAAACCCATTAACATAGAATATACAGATGTCTTAATCATCTCTACAAAAATTATGAAATAAAACATAATCATTCTCTGATTTTTCCATATAATCTTTTTCTTCTGTGTCTTATAAAATTCCTTCCCAAGACACATATTTGGAAAAAGTATTATGTGCCAACATTACTTCTCTCCAAAA